TTTCTCCTGATGCTGAAGATAAAGCAATAAGATGTGATTATTACTGAGAGAGAGGGTTTCTTATATTTTTAGTTCTATGTAGTAAGACCTAAGGCCAGTGGGGCTGACCCCAGATGTTTATATAACGGAGGTCTTCGTTTGAGATGAAGAGGAAAAGGACAAAAGCCTGCATTTCCCAGTCCCAGAGGAAACAGGAGAGAGAAGTGGAGCATGGAGTCAGACCCCAGGGTCCTCATTTAATTCCTAGACCTTGGCACCAAGCCTCAGGAGGCTGGAGGGGACTGCGTTAGAAACACTCTGACAGACATGGGGGTGCCCCAGACACTGGTGCCAGTGGTGGAGCCTCCCAGGGCCCTGGGAGGATATCAACCCCCAGCCAAACTCCATCCGTGCTGCTGTGTGTGTGTGTGGGTGGTACAGGTATGTAGATTAGTCTGTCATAGTACCCCTGGCTCCCCTGGCTTGTTCAGAGGAGTGAGGGACCTGGCACTGTCCCTGCATTCAAATGAGGTATGGAGGCCCTTAGAGTAGGGGGCCAACAGAGCATGGAAGTCAGAGAACAGAGGTGGAGATTTCAAGGGCAGAGGCAAATGGGGGGCAGGGATTCTAGTGGTGGATACCCCAATAAGATGGTCCTGCAGACACCCCATGAACAGAGGGAGGCAAGGGTCCAGAGGACTCACACAGGTTCCAGAACCAGTCCTCATCAATCCCTCTTTCCTGAGATCCTGAAGTCCCTTGCCCCTCTGCATCCAGATCCTTCCTAGAGGGCAGCTGGGAAGGAACACTGGGAATCTCCCCACTACCTTAAAGGATGTTTAAAATACAGCACCGGGCAACGTTTACCCAGCAGGACTAAAATGTAGTGTTATTTATGCTCCTGCAACAGAGTAGATGAGGCCAGGGAATCATGATCAGATTGACCAATATTGTTCGGCAGGGGCAAGATTTGTGGGAGTGAATTCACATTCCCCGTCTAGTATCCATCCACTCTTCCCTGCAATACACATGCACGGACAGCCCACCTGGACAGACACTGAACAAGACTGCAAGTACCTCTAAGGCCTGCAGACAGAGCCCAGGAAAAGGCCTGGGTGCAGCTAATTGGGATGTAATGTAACTCTTATCAGTGCTGTGACGGAGGTATCAGCAGAGCACCCTGGTGATGGGCGAGGTGAGAAAATTCCCTGGGTGTCTGCAGAAGGTGTCACAGATGAAGTAACATTTGAGATTCTTAATAAACATCTGGGTTTTCCAAATGAAGACAGGGGCATATGCAATTTAGGTGGAGGAAAGGCTCCCTGCAAAGGCCTCAACGTTTCTGAGGACAGGGAACATTCAGGTAACTACCATGAGGTGCCGTGTAGGGGAACAAAGGGTATTTGCAGGGGAGGGCAGGAGGTAAGGCTGGGGGGCATATGGGGACTGAAGACCATGGGTTCTTCAGAAGGTTCTGATGTTGTCACAGAACAGTGACACAGACAGGTGTCATAATCCTATGTGTTCTCTGTCATCCTCCAAGTTCATATCTTGAAGTATGTCAGATAGTCACATTTGGTCTGACAATCTCCTTGGGACGGTGCTGCCACAAAGACTGAAACTCCAAGAAAATTCAACGACTATTTACCCCTAATTATTTCCTACTCTGATTTAAAAACTTCTTGATCACTATCCAGAAAGCAAGCAGTTACTCCCTTAGAACAACAACCTACTCCAGCTGGTACATATTACCTTGGGCCACCCAAAAAGGGAGGTGAGGACAGAAGAAAAGGACAGCAATATGGACCTCACTCACCTGAACTTTGATTTGGAGATCCGGTGGCTGAAAGAGAAAAAGGAAGTATTACCAAAGGGAACACACACATGTTCATCCACAGTGAAAGCTGTTAACGCCCCCAGAGGTAACTGGTGCTCCCCAGGTAACCCTATATGGGCCCTGGAGGGTGCATGGTGAGGATTAGAACAACTTGGGAGGGAAAGAACTTCTTGTGTGTTTGGCTGTGGAGACAGGTCCGGCCCAGCTGACATGTACACATCTAACATCTATTGTTTTTGTTTTTGTTTTGGCTGGGGCTGGGTTTGAACCCGCCACCTCCAGCATATGGGGCCGGCACCCTACTCCTTTGAGCCACAGATGCCACCCCACATCTAGCATCTTTTAGTATAGACAGTCCTCACTGGAGAGGGCCACAAGTCCTGTGAAGCCAGGTTAGGAAGAGGGACAGATTGAGAGAAGCCACTGTGGGGGTTGGGGAGGCCGCTGCTGAAGGCAGGAGGGTCCCACCAGCAGACAGGCAGGAGCACTTGGGAATAGACCTCACAGCTGTCTGCCAGGAGCCTGGCCAAGGTTGGGTTATGAAGCAAAACAGGCAAAATTAGCCAGCTGGAAATGGAGTGGCCTCTCTGGGTGGCCCAGGAGCTACACACTGGGCCTAAAGAATTGGCCATAGTTCCCAAGGAGAAACAAACCCATGTGCAGCCCTGGAGACCTGGGGGACATCTGGGCAGAGGCACAGGACAGGTGTGAGGGTGGGTGCCTGGAAGGTTCATTATATGGGGACAGGAAGTTCCAGTGAAAGGCAGGACCTCCAGGGAGGTTCTGGGACTACCTAGCTCATTAGGAAGGAGTCCAAGGGAGGCTGGGAGCATAGGGCAAGAGAGAGAGAGACTGTGTGAAAGGGAAGCGTGGAAGAGAGTGATGTGAGCAAGAGGGAGAGTGAGTATAAGCAGGGAGGCAAAAGACCGGAAGGCACATGTCAGCTCAGCTCCGGGCTAAGAGAAGGGCATGAGCCCTGGAGAGTGCAGTGGGTGACAATACTTAGATGGACAGCAGAAAGACAGAATTCAAGTCAGCGATGAAGACAGGGAAGGAGACAGCAGCAGAGATGAGGAGCAGGAGAAAGCGGGAGAGGGGAGTCTGGGAGGTGACTGCGCAAGCCTGTGCTATCCCAGCCCGGCACAAAGCGAGCTGTGTCGCAGAGGCAAGAAAACATCAACCCCTCTCATTATTTTTTATTAAAAAAAAATTAAACCAGAAGATGTGACAGGTGGCAAAGCCATCGTGCATGAGATAATTATATCTCTGGGGCACTGAGAATCAGAGCCAAGTGTCTTTACTGCTCGGAACCGTTAGCTAATAACCTCTTCCCACCCCCAAAGGCTGCCTATGCAGGCTGAGGGCTTAATCACACGCTAAAAACGTGTGTGGGCGGGGACCAGGAGCTAAGGGCAGCGCTGTTATTTAGAGCCACAGTTTAATGGGGGAAACAAATGTCTTCCAGCTGCTAATGGGGCGATGGGGAGTCCGGGTGCTCCCTTTCCCAGGCCTGTAGTCAGGCAGGTCCCTCTCCTTGTTGGCAAGCAAAACCCACATGGGTGACCCTGACCTCCAGTCTTGTCTCCTGACCCAGACCTTCTTCCAGAAGTGCCTCAGTGGTCTTGACTGGGGTGGAAGTCCTGTCTGAGGGGCCAGTGATGCAGACCACTGGCCCTCACCCTGCGGCCCTCTCCCACTCCGGGTCTGCAGGGGTCCTAAGTAAAGCTCCCATAAGGACAGACTGAGTGTGAGTGCACACCTCTCCCAGGGAATGACTCCCAGGGCTGCGGCCACGGGGCAGGATTGGGGCCAGGGAGACTATCTGAAATGAGGTCCTAGTTCAGGTAGGGCCATAGACTTTGGGTCCTGCCAGAGCAGCCTGGCATGCTCTGAGCAGGGACTGGAGCAGAACTTTCTCGTCCACTTGGGCACAAGTCCTGATATATAAGTTTGGACATCACATTTGAAAACTAGTTTTTTGTTGTTGTTGCTGTTCTCAGGGGATTTTGAGCATAATTTTAAAGTTCACAAGGTCCGAAGCATTCATCCTTTTTTTTTTTTTTTTTTGAGACAGAGCCTCAAGCTGACATCACAGCTCACAGCAACCTCAAACTCCTGGGCTTAAGTGATTCTCTTGCCTCAGCCTTCCAAGTAGCTGGGACTATAGACACCTGCCAAGTGCCTGGCTAGTTTTTGGTTGTAGTTGTCATTGTTGTTTGGCAGGCCTGGGCTGGATTTGAACCCGCCAGCTTTGGTATATGTGGCTGGCGCCTTAGCCGGTTGAGCTACAGGCACAGAGCCCATTCATCCCTTTTTAAGACTGGCACATCTAACAAGTAATCAGCAGAATCACTAAGTGTTATGTTACTTAAAAACGTTGACTTAAGAAGGGGAGGGTGGCTCGGCGCCTGTAGCACGGTGCTTACGGTGCTGGCCACATGCACCGAGGCTGGAGGGTTCGAACTTGGCCTGGGCCAGCTAAACAACAATGGCAAATGCAACCAAAAAATAGCCAGGCATTGTGCGGGTGCCTGTAGTCCCAGCTACTTGGGAGGCTGAGGCAAGAGAATTGCTTGAGGCCAAGAGTTAGAGGTTGCTCTGAGCTGTGATGCCACAGCACTCCACACGGGGTGACACACTGTCTCAGAAACAAAAAAAAAGGCAGGGTATTGTTCAAGCAGCATTTCTCTGGAGATTAAAGAAAACTCTAGGCCCAGGGAGAGCTGAGTTTAGAACCTTTTGTGAAGTCTGAGCACTTTGATTCTTCTTCCTCCCTTTGCACAGGTGAGAATTACTGTAGGACCCATGAGAACAGAGGGGCTACGTGCTGGAAGAACTGCTCCCATCACATGAGGACGTGAGCTAGCCAGTGCTGGTGCCCTGGAATCATGATTGTTAAAATCTCCTCAGACTCCAAAAAGTCCTGTGAACAGGAGAGCCCTCTCGTGTCTCTAAGCCTTGCAGGGTAGGTAAGACGCTCAGAAGACGTCTTGGCTTTCTGCATCGTTGTTATTCTAGTGAGGTGAATTGTTGAAGAGGAAGCAGGGAAAGAAAGAAAGTCACTGACACATGAGGCCATCAGAACCACTCCACTGAGGTGGGCCGAAGTCCATGCCACCCAGGACACTTTCTCTGTCTGGGTCTCCAAGACGAACATTCAGGGAACCCAGGATGGTCCAAACCCAAAATTCTTCTTTTCTTTTTGGTTGGTTGCTCAACTTGCATTTGTCATTATTTGACAAATACTTGAACTTCTCGGGAGCTATTTGTATTTTCAGCCTCTCCCCCTTCTTAAAGCAATGAGCACCATATGTTTACTACCTGCTGTGTAAAAGAGTATTTCCCTGAATTGTCCTTTAACATAAGTCAGATGGCACTGCAGTCATTATCACGCTGACAACACATCTGACTCAGCATCCCTAACCCCGCAACTTTCGCACCACCACAGCTGCGACTCTGGAGGTCTCCCCTGGACCTTGTCATGGCACAGAGTTGCTTCAACTCCTGGGGGCTGAGCCTGGTTGCTCCCCATGTCTGTCCAGAGCCTCCCTTTCTATCGTCCCTCCCTCTCTTTCATGGAACCCAATCTTTGTCCCCACTGGGTCCCCCCTATCACTCACACCTTTTAATACCAGGCCTGATGGCTAGTACTCAGTGTGGCCCCACTGTCACATCAGTGTTGCCCTCATACCATGGTGACTCTATACCACTGGGCCTTTTCCTGGGCCTGCGTGGCTAAACCCCACCTGGTTCACTCCACTCCGTGGAGCTGTTGGGCTAGGTGGACTCTACGTGCGTGACACTAGTCCCCACTCAGCTTCAGTGCTGCTTTCAGGGACCTCTCGGTAATGCCCTAGTCTAGACCTTCGGTACTGTCTTTTAAGTTCCCATGTCACCTAACACTTAGCATTTCCGAGTTCCCCTTGCATAACTTCTGTCCCTGGCTCCTCATCGGAGCCTTTTCTGACTCTGTGTTCTTTCTGGATCTTTAACAAGCTCTGGGAGCTGGAAGGAGCCCTGGGATGCCATCTGGGCCTGTGGTTCATAGACCTCTCTTCACAAGGTGGGAGCTCAGTGTGTCAAAGGGATGGACAAAGTCCCTTCTGTGGCAGCCCTTGCAGGCGGCCTTTGCTGAGAGCACCTGGAAGCCCACGGTCAGTCCTAGCCCTCTGTTTCCCAGAGGAAGGGGCTGAGACTCAAAGCAGAGGTCACAGGCTAGCTGGAGGCTGGTGGGGACTAGACTCCAGGACTCTGATGCCAGGTCTCTTTTAGTCCCAGAGTCAGAGGAAGCCCTTCTTCCTGTGTAAGGTCAGTGTCTCGAACTGTCACTGATGTCAGGCAGTGTTCCCCTCCTCTGAAGCCACTTCTCCCCACTAGCCCTCATGTCCTCTCCGGCTCATCACTGGCTTCTCCTTTGCTCTGAGGCTTGCTGTGGCAACTGTCACCTTCCTGGGCCCAGGGTGCCTTCTTTCTCAGCCTTCCCTCCACGGCCTTACTTCCCAAGCTCACCCCTGCTCTGGCTATGTCCAGGGTCTGGAAACATGCTGGTATCCCTGATGAGAACATTCTTCCTTATTCTTCACCTTGACAACTTGTGTTCAGCCTTCCATTCAACTCTTCAAAGAAGTCTTTCCTAACCTGTCAGTCTAAATCAGGTCCTTCTGCTATTAACCTGATGTTGCATTTACCCACCCTCACCCCAGTTCACAGTCCCCTCTCTGTTTAGTGTCTCTCCCATCTGAGATTGTGAGCTCCAACTCGGTGGTCTGTTTGCTCTCCTGCTGTGTGTTGCCATCAGCTAGCACCCAGCTGGCCATACTGTTGAGCGCGTGTCCAGATTAACAACTCTGTCCTGAAATTCCTCCCCCTGGGGCCTCCTGGCCAGCACTGCTGTTCTCCTAACACACCTTTCTCTGTTTTGTTTGCTTCCTCTTATGCTCCTGTGGGTCAGGTTCAGCCCTCGGCCTTTTGCCTTCTGTTCCTCCGTGAACAAGCCTTGTCCTGTCACCTCATTCATGATTTTTACCCTGATAACCTCGCATGTGTGTCTCTACCCCCGGCCAGATTGGAGCCATGCGTTCCACATCCTGCTGCATCCGTGACACCTGCAGATCCCTCCAGGGCCCCTGATTCAGATTTTACTTCTGCCTCAATATCCTTTTGTCCTTTCAAACTATGGTTGGCTCCATCCTCTTCATCACCTCCCTGCACACCTGCCCCAACAAAATAACACATAGCAGTTCTTTTCTCTCTGCCCTGCCCCTGCAGGAACCACTTTCATCCAGGTTTTCTCACTACACAGCAATCTCCATCTTGGCCCCATCTTATCCCATAAGACTTTAAGCCCTTAGCTTTGAAGTGCTAGTCTCACTGCACCAGGCTCGGTCCTTAGGCTGCTTCTCCCACAAGGAACGTCAGCAGAGTCGTAGCCCCAGGTTGTCTGAGGTGGGGTGGGAATTGGGGAGATGAGGGAAAGACCATGATTCATGAAGTGCATATTATAATCTTGGCACTGTCACTGGGCATTTCACATGCACAAAGTACATGTGTAAATATGGATACGCCTGGAGACAAGGGGGCCGTTCCTACAGAGCTAGCAAAGCTGTGGAGAGCATCCTCTGAGGAAATGACAGACAGGCTAGAGACTGCCAGCTTCCCTCCGTGGGGGACGATGATGTTCTCTTTCCAACAGAGCCTCCTCATGCTCTCCTGAAAAGCAGTCTCAAGTGGCTTCCTGGTGCCAGCTCCCCAGTCCCTCTTGGTCTACAACTTGGGCCATGCCCAAAAGCCAGGGTCGCAGGGTCTTTGATCTTCTCTCCAGCTCTCCTCCTGGAGCCAAGGCAACAGAAGGGCCTAGAACTTATGGATTTTGAAGGCTCCCTATATGCTTTGCCCCAGGGTTGCTATCTGGGGCCAACTTTCAGCAACTCGAGTGCTTGTTTCGTGTGATTCCAAAAGAAGAGGGAAAAGGTTTGGGCTGCTGCTGTAAAATGTAATTAGCATCGTATTTTAACAACATTTTGACAATAATTGCTTCCCGACAAGGCTGAGAAATCTGCAGTGCAGACTCCCTGGTGCCGCTGTCAGAGTGAGTGATACTGAAGCCCCCAGCACCCTGGAAACAGGCTGCAAGAGCCCGGCTGTTCTCAGTCTCGTTTTCCCATCCCCAATGCTGGCTTGATGCCCTTCTCAAGACCAGCACTGGCCACAGACTCACCTACAGCTCACTTTTGTGTAAGGGCTGGAGCCTGCCCAGTCTACTGAGTCATTTCACAGAGGAGGAGGGGACTGAGACGCTGCTCCTTGGATGGAGCGATTTAGACTGGTTCTGATCAGAGCCTCTGCAGTTCTGTTCAGTGACTGCGCTGAGTGTATATCCCCAGGCAATGGAAAACTCAGTTTTCATTCCTCAAAGGGGACCCTGAATGTTCTGGGAGGCCTCAGGCTCAGGTCAGTGAGACCACCTGACAGTACAGAGTTTAACCCCCAGACTCTGCTTCCTGAGCCACTGGAAAAGAAGCAGTTTAGGCTCTAAGCACAGGTGACTCAGGTGGCATTTGGGTGCCTCTACTTCTCTTCTGCTGCAGGTGAGGACTCACGTGCTATTATCTCCCAGTGAATTTTCTTACCATCTGTTTTTCTTCTGGGTCACTCTATTCAGAATGGAAGGGTGGGGAGCAGGACCCAGGGGCCCTCACCTGCCACCTCTTATGAGAAGGGGTGAATGAGCTGGGAAGGATAGATTTTGGGGCCACCTTCCTCCCACATACTCTGTATTTCTCTGATGTGATGAAAAGGGCTCAAGATCCAAGCGTCAGTCCCTCACAGAAGAGTTGAAGATGAACCTAAATTTGTAAGACCCACCCCCAGGGCCCTCTGCTCCCCGTAAGTTCCCACCTGATGCTGCTGTTTCATGCTGCTGTTTCTTGCTGCAGCTCTAATTTCTGTCCCTCTTGGTGAGAGGCCACCCTTTCTGATTGCCAGGCACAGACTCCCTGCCCATGCCCCAGAGAAAGCTCCAGCCCCTGGGCTCTGGTGCCTACTCACGCCAGCCTGGCCCCGCAGTTTTCGCCCTCGATGTCACCTCCAGCCACATTTTCGGTGTTGACGGACTCGGTCTCACTGGTGGGCATGCTCACTGCAAGAGTCAAAGGGATGCAGAGCGGGTAAGGGGGGCACAGGGGAAGAGAGGAGCATTAGTTTGCAACACACCCAATGCTGAGATGGAGCAAGAGAAGAGCCTGAGAGGGTCGCCAGCTGACCGGCAGGGTCGAGGCCCTGCACTGGCCCAGCCAGGCTCCAGGATATCTGGACTGACATGCCTGGTGCTTGTCTGGGCAGGTTTTGCTGCCAAGGACACTGTAACTAGTGAGAACATGGAAGGACATCTAGTGATCAGGGTATTTTAGTTAGTGGTAAGACACCGACCACTGACTCTTTTCTCCACCTTCCACTCTATGGTTTCAGAAAAGCCAGGGAAGCATTCCCATCTGCTTCTGCTACTCATCATTGAAAGAGGAGCTTTCATGGAACTATGGTATTTCCTTTTCTTCTTTCCAATCCTGAGACTAGGGCCCAGCATGTTGTTGCCTACATGGATGACCACGCAGATGTGGAGGGTTCCCCATTTCCTACAGACACTGGGTCCTGAGTCAAGTACATCTAGGATCTGGCCTGAGACAGAGAGCTCAGAGCGAGTGGCCATAGCAGGAACCACATACTAAGACTTGAATTAGGAGTGAAGCAGCATTAATTGTGGAATAAACAAAATTAACTTTAAATGTGGCCTGAAGACAGCCTACAGGGACACTCTCTCTCCTTCCAGCCACCCTGAGGCTCCCATCTCAACAGGCTGATCTAGGCTATGAGCGATCTGATTCCACTAGTGCCTTGTCCAGTCAACACCCAGCCTCTTCCCAAGACAGCATGGGTGGGATTTCCAGAACAGCGGGACTTTCCTAGCTTAGAACCCAGATTTGTGGCTTAGAAGAAGCCATTACTTTTTATTACTTTTTTTTCTTCTAAATAAAAGTTTGACTCAAAGAATTCTTCTTTATCTCCTACCCCCTCTGAATATATGTAGACACAAGTTTTGCCAATGCCTGTTCTTTATTTTTTATTTTTCTTCAACCCTTGTTCTTTAGAGTGGTCATTACATCTTCCATCCTGGTTTAGCTCTCCTACCAGAACAGAATTCCTTATCCGGTGAGAAAGTCACTAGCCCTCAGCAGACACAAAATACACATGTATGCACACATGCACACACACACGCATGTGCACACACACCTACTGCATCACAAGCAAGAGAAACACCCTCCCGTCTAGTCTGGTAGGTACCAATACACACAGAGCACAGGGGAACATTACCATGGGTTTCTGTGGAGTGACTAAACCAAGCAAACTTCCCTTTCTTCTGATCAAGCAAGCCCGCCGGAGTGCTTCCTTTCACAGACAAGATGATCAGTGTCAAGAACCAGGAACAAGACATCAACAGAGAACATGCAGTCAGCCACGGTAAAAGAAAGAAACAAGGAACTCAGCTTTCACATAGAACAGCCATTTTGTTTCCAAAAATAAACAAAATTAAAAATCAATAAACAAAAACACATAAGAAAATATAACAAAATATAACTAACCCTCCAAATGACATGAATTAACACAGAACAAATGATGGACCCTGGGGGGACAAGCTCTGGTCTGTAGTAGTGTATCTAATCATCAACAGGAGAGGGCTTCCTGAAGGGAGCTGCCACTTGTGCCTGCTGCCTCCTTAGGGAGGACCCCCTTCTACAGGCTCAAGGAGGGTGACTGCTAAAATCAAGCATTGATGTCCCCTTCAGCCCTCCACCATGGCCAGGTGACTCGTCTGGTGCCCTACATGGGACTATACTACGTACCGCAAAGTTCCACCTGCCACAGAGTCAAGGGCTCCCTCACCACTGACAGATGGATGGTGTCACTTGCAGATGGAAAAACAACCTATTAACCTCCTCTCCCTTTCATCTAGTTCTGTCATTCAATTCCATTCAGTAAAGACCCAATGACCACCGCAGGCCTGACTATATCCAAAGTATAGATGTGTCTGCCTTTAATTAGTTTAAATGGGAAGAGTTAAACTGCCATCAATGGATGGCCTTTTGAGGAGGTTTGTAAATAAGGGAGAAGAATTCTGTGAGCCCTTGCAGGGTCTGTGCTGCCACTAACAAGGAGGGTGCCCTGGCAGCGTGTGAACACCGCAATTACTGCATAGGGAAGAGTAGGGATCTGAATTCTGCAATGGATTTTGAGTTCTGGATGCCAAATGCTTTAGCTGATTGCTCACAGAGAGTTACCCGCCATCATGTGATAAAGATGGCATGGACAGCGTGTCTTTGAGGCCACCACTGAGGTTTCTGGAAATGAAAGGCCAGCAAGGCACAATCTCAACTCTTCTACAAGGAGCAGCTGTGGGTGGAAGTGGGAAATTGGCCGCCCCTCCCAGGGGCACATGGTGCAGGAATAGAGTTTGAGGGGAGGGCAACCCGGGTTCTAGAAGTTTCTTTATTTCATCCTCTTCTCCCAGAACTCACATTAGGTTCAATGAACTTCCTTAAATATTGCTTGCTGGTGAGAGTTTTGGAGACTAGTTCATGATAGAAAAGGGCCAGATTGACTTTTAACCTATGTAAAGGGTCATGCCTCAAACACACTCATCTTTAAATGATGAATATGGAATACACATAAATGTTACAACTTACAAAAAACTCTATATGATAAAAAGCACTGAGAGGAGTGGAAATGAATGACTTGGTTCAGGTTCTAGAGAAAGGTATGTCTTCCTTTAGAATGATAACAGCCATGAATGTGACAATCCCATAGTGATTTTTTATTTGGAAGTGTGAAGGGATAAACATAGGCTGCCAGTCACTAAGCTTCCGTTTATTCACATGTTTGGTGGAGGGGACAAGAGCCCTCGTCAGTGAAAGGGGGCCCTGAACATGAAGCTCTTCAAGCATCATCCAGCCTGTGGCTTTGGCATCCTTTGTTCATTTTCAGAAGTAACCGCACCACAACTTTAAAAGCAATAGGAAGAGTTTTAAATACATAGCCATTTAAGTATAACTGAATTTGACCAGGGCTAGTCTTTCATGGGGGGCAGGGTGGCAGCCACCCATGTGGAAACGTTAGGCTGTTAACTAGATATGAGCAGGATGGATGATGGATATGGTTAGGCTAGTTTGGATTGGTACGGGTCAGGTTGACCTAGGCTATTATAGGAATGAGGCTGATTAAGATCTTGTAGGTGGGTGGTTTTCACAACCTTGCAGGTGGGTCGTTTTGAGAACAGAGATGATTAGACCCTGAGAAACTCTAGTAAGCAGCTAGAGTTGCTCCTCAAAGTTGTGTATAAAACACAAACTGCACTTTCCATGGGGCCTTCAGTCACTAGGATGGGGCCTGGCTTGCTGTGCAAGGTAACAAAATTTTTCTTGTTAAAACTTTACTTGCTCTTTTCAATTATTTCAGTGACTATCTTGAATCTCTGTGCCACTCTAACAGTAAGTGATCTGAGGATCATCTAATTAATCTCCCTTGATGGCTTACAGTGGCCTCTGTTAGATTTGCTTTTGAGGGTCAAGTCATATACCTATGTGTTCCTTGCTGAAATGAAAATATCTCACTTGGAAGGAGCAATAGTTTAACATATTAGTGCCTATTAATTTGTGATAGTTTATTCCAGGGGTGTCCAATCTTTGTTTTTCTCTGGCACACATTGGAAGAATAGGAGTTGTACACATTAAATACATAAACACTAATGACATCCGATTAGCAAAATCAAATCAAATCAAATAAAAATGCCTGTGCATACTCTTTGTGATATTTGACAATATAGATAAGCAAAAAGTCATCATGAAATCAGCATGTAGCCCCTCAGGCTGCAGATTGGACGCCCCTGGTTTATTCCATAAGCACTGAGGGATTAAAACAGATAAAATAGCATTTGTGTTCCTATTATTAAGAGATTAGACAGTGTGGTATAATAGCTGATTCTTTGAGGGAAACTTCTAGGAAAATGAACATCTAAATTGTTGAAAGTTTAGAACCATTAATTGCTGGATGTTTTTTTTGTGGATGTGATGGAAAGCCTGTCCCCTTCCTTGCCCACTCAAATGGTGAGCCAGTCAGTAACTAAGACAAAAAGATGACAAAGAACCGAGATGGCCAAGGACACCTTTTCTCTAGAGGTAGCCCTAGGAGTGGAGGTTGATTGTCTGCTCATCTGCAGACAATGTCTTGATAACACACACTTGGTAAGACACAATGTGCTTTACTGAACAAATTCTGAAACAAGAATGCTGAGGAAGAAAGCTGGAGAGGGAGCGTGTTTTCTGACTTTCAAACTTTACTATTACCAGGTACTGTGGACCAATGTGGACCTCTGGGCTATTCTGTCCCTTGGCTTCTGCTGAGAAGATTCTAAAGGACAGTAAAGAGTTCTTCAAAAATGTAATGAATGCTGCTATTGCAAGTGATTGATAATATCACTACATTTTCAGTAACATCATCAAGGCTCCAATGATTTGTACAGACTCCATTTTTCCGACGACTGATTACATCCTTGAATTAACCCTCTGACCTATTCTTGCTGGCCACTCTTGCTTGAGTGGTGCTTAGTAGGACTACTTCTAAGTCTCAAGAGAGGTGCACAGCTATTGTTGCCCAGCAACCAAGTCTCCCTTGATCTGCATGGAGAACAGTTGTGTGGATAATGGGGAGATTATAATAAGTCACTTTCTCCCTGAGAAAATCTCCTAAAACTGGAAATTACACAAATCATGCTGGGGTGGGGAGCACTTGACCTGAGCTGTCATTAAGTCTGGTAAGTTTGGGTTTGCAAACACTCAGAGGGTTTATTCACTGAAATTTGGGAATCCTCCATTAAACACCAGGTGGTGGTTTGAGAGTGTGGCTGTACAGATGAGCTGGCTAGGCCTTCTGCAGCTGTGGTCAGCAGAGGAAGAACAGGCGCACAGCACAAGCCTCACCTTCCCCAGAGGAAGTGGACACTCTATAAAACTAACCACTGTCTCTTGACAGGTCCTTATACTCCTAAAACAAATCTCCAAGTGGTGAACCTGCTCTAGGCTGTTCCAGTGT